AGGACGCTTTGATTAGGGAGAGGTGTAAACCCCCCACTCTGCCTGCAGTCCTAGGCTTTTCCTCACTCACTGCTCAAGGGGCGGGAGTGTTGCCAGATTCCAGCCCCCAGGTAGCACTCTGAGGCAATGGGGGGGTGGGGGTGCAGTGCAGGCATCTGTTGATGATACTGAGCTTTTCAGTCTCCCTCTCCCTGTTTCTACATACTGTCTGCAAACCTGACCGGTGAGGGAGCCAGCAGGGCGCTGATAACACAATATTTATCAGCCCATCAACAAAACAAAAGCCTCTCTCATTAGTTCAAGCTCTTAAACAGCTTTTTGCAAGGAAGGACTGGAGGGATATTACCTATTGATTAGCTCCATAAAGCCCTGAGCAGACGCTTCTGTTTACCCATCTCAGTGAAATTAGGGACATACGCATGCACACATGTGCGCGTATGCACCCCTCAGCATTAGCTAGCATACCACATGCCTAGGGTCTATGGGGCTGGGGTCTGTGCTGTGGGAGATGGAAGGAAGGGAGTGGGGAATCCCTGCTGGAGCACTGAGGGGTGGGTGGGCAGGGAGAAGCCAGGCAGACCCTGCTGTGCTTGCAGACTGTCAGAGCTGTGGCTAGGGAGCAGAGGGGCAGGACCAGTCCTGCTCTCTGGATCAGGCAGCCCAATCCAGCCCAGGGCTGCAAAACATCTGGGATGTTGGGGGACTCTGGTTTAACTTAAACCAGGAAGGGGTCTGGGACAGACATTGCATAAACCAGTTGGATCCAAATCAGTTAAGTCTGATACTACATTCAACCAGGTTTATCTTAAACCAGTTTCAGCCATTTTGAAACTGGTTTATGTGCACTGAATTCATGTTCTTTTACAGGTTTAAACCAGTTTCTGATCACTTCTGATTACCAGTTTGTGTAAGGTCTGTTCCTAGCCAAAAAGTGTCTACTCCTCAGTGGTTTTTTTAGTACTTTCCACAAACCATACAATTTGAGACAGAAGTTCCACTTTTGAGATGTCAAGCCCCACATCTGTGCTCGTGAGCCAACTTCTAATCAGAGCCCATCTGCCATACCTGAATTTCTTCATGACCTACTACCTCATTCATGGTCAAGACTGAGGAAATATTGGGATAAAACATAAATGTATTCATTGTGCCTAACTAAAGAAATGGTGATGTTAGCAAACATAATGTGTAGCCGAAACAGGAGATGGGGTTGTGTATGTGTAAATACAAGTAAATATAATTAAACAGCTCTGTTTAAAGTAACCTGAAAGTTAAAAGCAATTCTCAGTTTTCAGTCCATGACTTTTCATCCAGTTTTTTTTTTCAAATTAGCACTTAGAAGACATTATCGGTGTTTCATTTTTTTATTTTTGTTTTTATTAATTCAGACAGTTTAGCTACAGGGAAACTAATCTTTAGTTGAAATTATAGTTCACACATTTTGTAGCAGGCTTACCTTTTTGGAGCTTGGGTTGAGTCCCAGGATCAAGGGTCTGCTGTTTGATTGGTAGAGCCTGCCCACCAATCCGGAGGCAGCACAAGGGAAGCAATGCCCCGCCCTTTTCCAAAGGGAGGGGGCAAGGAGCAGCTGGACCTGAATCAGAACTGCACCAGCTTGGTCTGGGGAACTTTGGGGGTGGAGCCCCTGAAGAGTACAAAAGGGGAGCATGCTCAGCAGGCTGGAGAGACGACGAGGGATGGCGAGGAGAGAGGAGCTCCAGAGATGGCCTTCCTCGGGACCCTGCTTCGGCTTCAGTGGTGTGCAAATCAGTGCACGGGGATCAGGCTCTAGGAGCTGCTTGAGGTGACTTGAGTCTGCGAACCCAGCAAGCGGCTGGGCATTCAGTGTGCAGATTGGCTCGAAGCTGCTCGGGCCCAGCATGGTGTGCAGATCATCACATGGAGAGCTGGCCCTGGGAGCAGCTCACGGCTGCTTGGGCCTCACAGTTCAGCATAAGGGTAACTGCCTTGAAAGCAGCTTGCAGCTGCTCACGTTAGCCCTGGCCCTAGGCCGAGTGACTGGAGCCCCGCAGTGCGGCTCCACTTTTAACTAAAAGAGCCCCAGTGCCCAGAGCAGGGCCCAGGAATGGGGAGAACCCCCGGTGTGAGACCGGGGAGGCAGAGACTGCAAGGCCTTGGCTCCTGTGAGAGAGTGAGCCCTGGTTACTGGGGAAGCAGGCCCCGCAAGAGACGCTAACATGGGTGAGGAGGGTCTGCCACCTCCACCCTCCATTGCAGGAGAGACGTGTCCACATCCCAGGGCCCTAAGGGGAGGGGCTTCAGGGAAACCCCTCGGAGAGGTGCTGAGTGCACTCCCTACTTTGAGGTTGTTGTGTTAAGGGCTGTATAACTAGGGGTATTCTTTAAGGGGGTTTACGGTTTGTGTGTGTTAATGTCTCAATGTATATATTGGTATTGTTATTTGTGAAGGTTTATGGAAATATTATGGTTAAGTTACTTGGGTTATATAGGTTAATATCCCTATGTGTTAATTGTGTTGTACAGATTGTAAGTTATTTGGTTCATATTTGGAATTATATATGAATTGTGGAATATTATATATAGTATTATATGTTAAACCTTGTAAATACTCTGTTTTATATTAAGTGTCTGTATTTATTCTTGTAATAAATTAACATAGTTAAGTATTTGGTTTCGGCCTAGCTCTATAGAGAAGGGAGGAAGCCACCCTAGTAGCTGACCCCTTCCTCAGCACCCTGCCTGACCACCACCGCTGTCATCGGAGGACAGGGCACACCCCCCAGGTATATCCGGGCTACATTTTCATAGGGCTTTTTTTTCCAAGAGAAACCTGTTGTTTTAAAAAAAAATTTAAAAATTTCTTAGTTGTAGCCCAAGGATGCAGTGGCAGGGTGATTAAAGCCCAGCTTAGATCTTCAGAGGCATGAGTTCAACGTCTGCTCTGCGTTTATGATAAAAGCCAGCCAGCCCCGCCCTGGTGGCTGCTACATTGTTCAGATTTGGGTATTGGAAGCGATGCTAACCACATTGGTTTTTTTCTTTGCCTTTGATGACAAAAGGTGGCACATCTTAGCCGTTCTGGCCCAGTGAAGGCTCAAGCAGACCATGACTGATTGAACATATAAGATTATTTATAAACAAATATGAAAGTCGAGTCATAAACACATTCTGTAATGCCAGAAACAAAATTGTCTGCTACCCTGCTTGTTACTGTAGGCTATAGATAGTCATACCCTCTTAAACATGTAAAGTTTTAAAAGAATACAAGGATAAAATATGCCCTGAAATAAATAACAGAAGTTTTGTTTGACCCTTCAGCCTGCCCATTCTCCTCCATGTTTATCCCATTATAACCTTGTGTTCCCAACTGCTCACTATATACTGTTATCCCTTCTAAAACTATTCTCTTTTAATTTCCTAGTTTCTTTTTAATTTAGAACATGGGTGATGCCTTCTGGTAGCAACTTGCCAGTGCCCTGATACAAGGTTGGCCAAGGGGCATGGGCAGACATTCTTTTGAAGTACTTCAAATCCTACTCCTGTGTGAAATGCTTCAAATTTGGGCTACTTCATTGGACTAATGTACAGGCCCCTCCCAGCTGAAGCTCTTCAGAATGGACTTGAGTCTATAGTGTAAAAGAGCTCTGCAGTTAGAGGACAGGATAGCAGAGAAGAGCATGCCCTTTGGGCCCAAATCTCCAGAGGCTCCCAAGGGCCGCTGAGTGGAGAGGAGGGAGCCTGTTGGCTGTTTGCTCCCTTGGCTTGTGCTATGTGCTTGCTGCCACTGTAGGCTTGGTCAGGCAAGCTCATCAGGTACAAGAGCAGGGTTGTCACCCCAGGAAGCCAGAATGGATGCCTACTATTTTTTTGCCTGGCAGCTCCTGGCCAAGCAATGACAAGAGATGCAGAGTCCTGACCTACCTGAGCATGGTTTGCATGCTCTTCCAGATCATCTGCTGGCTGAGAAGCCATCAGAATTGCAGTGCAGGGCACTATGACCCAAGACCCTGGAAAGGCGCCGCTATGAGATTTGCTACCTGGTGTACACTGCTAACAGAATGCCCAAAGATGATACTATACCGAAAGATGATCTTCCCTGGGACAACTCAGCATCCATGTATTGGCATATCTGTTCCAGGGAGCACAACTGGCATGAGTGCATTATCTGGGGAACATGGGATGATGAGCAGTGGTGGGAAAACTTTACGATGAGCTATGCCACTTTCATGGAGATGTGCCGACTTAGTCTCATTGCTTGAGCAACAAACCACAGAGTTCTGAACCTTCGTCTTTGGAGTGCTCTAGAGACAGTTGGAGCACTTCAAATGTTACTTCTGTCTGACCCTTGAGTGGCTGTGGCTTTGCTAATATAAATACGTAATAGAAAAATGTTCCAGGTAAAATGTTATTAGGAAGGATTTGTAGTTCCTAACTTTTTATTGTTGCAAACAGGTGTTAACTGTACTGTAGAGCAGAATCTGTTACATAATGGGGAAGCAGATCTGCAGTTGATCGGCCAGTTGCTAACTGAGGAAGGGTGAATCTTAAGAATTCTCAAGTTAGAGACTAAAGGGGACGCACTCTTTGTAATGTGTGGGAATCGATTCCTCTCTGACTAATGAGGAGCTACTCGTTGTTGTTTTCTGAAACTCCAAATAGCTGTTTCTGAGAGCACTGCTCAAGCTTTTGATTACATAGATTCAAAGCTCCAGAGTCCTTTAGTGTTTGCATTTAAATTGTATTAAGGTCTTCAACAACCAATGCATATTAGAGGACATCACCTTACTGTTACCTTTCATTTAGAGTTGAGAATAGACATAAATTTGAAATATTGCTGCTAAACATTTCCTCTTATTTCTGCTCTCATGAGTGAGCATCATAACTGAGTTTTGGGGGGAAAATTAGAAGCTCACTACTGACCCTAATTAGCCTGTGTGAATTGAATATGATTTTTGTACACTGACTTTAAAATTTAACTAAATAGCTTTTTTTTTTTTCTTTTTCCTTATGACCATTTTTAGGAAATGGCAAAGATTCTTAATCATCCAAGAGTATATGCTTTCCTCCACATACCAGTTCAATCTGCTTCTGACAGCGTGCTCATGGACATGAAAAGAGAATACTGTGTGGCAGACTTCAAACGGGTAGTGGATTTCCTTAAAGAAAAGTAAGTCTGTTAATACTCAAGAAAATACCAACATTCTTTTTGCCATGTCAAGAACATGTGGCTGAAAACACAGTTACTTGCAACCTCGTAATTAAGGTACAAAAAAGAATGAGCTTCTTTAACCTTTCAAAGTTTTCTATAAAGCCCCTTGATGTGGTTTACTTCTTTGCCTGAGTTTTATAAATACCTTGTGTTGCTGCGTGACATGCTTTTAATTTGTCAATAGGTTCCTAATCTTTTTTTAAATAATATATTTTAGATTATTTTTATGCCTGAATTACTACATATATACTGCTTGAAGTGCGCTTTGCTGAAGTTGTCTTTAATGTGGCTTTTTAGTATTGTCTATTTTGCATGCTGGATGTGGTCCATCTCATGATAAAATGAATGGACATTTTACTATTTATTTAGTTCTATAATGAGGATGAATGTACTTTTGTATTCTAATACCCCAAGTTTGCTTTAAGTAATTGTGATAGTTTCTGTCTGGGTAGCCATTAGAATTCTTTTCCATAGAAACAAAATACAGGGTAAATGTGTGTCTAAGCATATTTTTATGTATATTAAAACAAAAAAAACAAAAGTTATGACGCCTATCTTAAAAACACCTATAATAGCCGATTATATTTACTTTAGTCTTCAATTAAATATTTCTTTACTTGGACTATCAAGTAATACTAGGAATTAAGGAAAAATATAATATGGCAATAAATATCTTAGATTCAGTTCCTTGGAATATTTTCATTAGGTATTTCTTCATAGAATGATAGGGAACTCATTGGCTGCAAGAATTGGTAATTTTGCTTTAATGGGCTACCTTTATCCCTTTTCTTTTTTAGAATGAGTTGTGTTTTCTTTCTTTGTGGCTTGGGTATTTCATCAAGCATTCATACACAGTAAAAACTAATTTTTTGAGATCCATGTCACTGAAACTAGCAGTGTGACTACATAATGTATGAAATCCAGATAGCTCTTTGGGATATAAAAGGGGTTAAAAAAAAAGAGAGAACAGTGCTTTCATTGGACTTTTTGGATAGTCTCATGTAGTTTGGTCAGTTAATTGCAATCAAACTGTTTTGAGTGAAAAGGTTGCATCTAGTATTTCTCATCATCATCTTTTTTCTTATGGCAAAGCAGATATTTTTCAAACATTGGTACAAGGCTGGTGGGGGTGTGTGTGTGTGTGTGTGTGTGTGAGAGAGAGAGAGAGTTTTTAATTAACAGATATTTTGGCACACTTAACTGGGAACTATGTCAGTATATCTGAGCTGACTTGAAGCTGATTCATTATTCTCTTCAGTAGTTTCAAAGTTGGCAGCTAATATCATAACAGCAGCTGGATTTTAGATAACCTAGTAGAGCTGGCACATGTTGGGGCATATGGGAATTTATTAAATCATGCAGCCTTTGCAAAAAAATATGCGTGAATTACTTAATATCCAAATTTAAAACAGCTGGTAATTGAAAATACAATAATCTATGACATAAGTCATTTTCCACACACCGTTGTTACTTTTGTAGTAAATTAAGTAAGAAAAATAGCAACAGAGTTGATGCCTAAATTTTCAGATAGTAAAAATCACATTTTATTAAAAATCTATCAGATTATGTATTGTTCTCATTAGGGAATGGTCTCTGAATACCATGATGGAAAATTTCTTCCAACATATGGCAACAGGATGAGGTAGCTATGCAAGACTGAGAGAGATGTTTTGGATATTTGAATGCATGTACATCTGTAAAACTCATTAATTTTTTTCCATGCTCTTAAGAGCATGGTGTCTATATTTGCAGTTTCTTCTCTCATGGTAGCAGCCAGCTATGACATTCTCATGTAGACATTCCCATAAAGATTTCTCAGCAAAAGAATTGCCCGGACATAACATTGTTTCAGATATTTACAGAGTCTATGCCCAGAGTTGCTGATATTAAGTATGTGTTTGAACTATTTTAATAGCCAACAGGGGATGGTTTCCTCTTTATTTCACATGCACACACAACAAACCTATTTTTCCCCTGTCTTCCCACTCAGGGCTGTAAAGAGAAGCAGAAACTTAAAGCACATACTAACACACCCCCCAACCAAGAGTTCCAGAAAAGGCATTATCCTTCATAAAACCAGGCATCCATTATTTCTGTATATCTTTCTACATTTGACTTATAACTAGGAACCTACCAAAATCGCAATTTTCGTAGACAGTGTGATTTTGGGCAGGCTCTGTGAAAAAGTGCAGGTTGCACACTTTTGGCACACGTGCTACAACCCCTCCCCCAAAAACCCCACAAACTTACCAGCAAGGACAAAAGTGTGTAGAATGTGTATAGTCTTGTGGGGGGGGGGGGGGGGGGG